TGGACGTTTTAGTCCCAAAATACATCGGAACGATTAGTTTTGTGTTCCATTTTCTCGAGCAAATACAGAGAGTTGACTGAGGCGCCATTGTGTTTGGTTGCTGGGTAGACGTCATCAGGTACCGCCATGCCAGACTCCCTAAAACGTGGTCGTGAAACACTTCAAGCGCGACTTTGAAAGGGCATAGGAAATCGAGGATTCAACCAAATTCAAAAATTTCTTCGCTCAAATGCTTCAAACGAAGTCTAGATTCGTTTTAGCAAAAAAAAAATTTGGGGGTTAGGTGCAGATTAATGCATATGTTATTGCGTGTTGTTATATTTTGGGGGCCATACGATTAGCGCTAATTGAATGGCTCACCAAAAACGTACTGTTTATATAGATGTGCTAAAGTAGTAGTAGATTTATAACTGACAATACAATCTAAGTCTGGTAAATGTCTCTGGATAACCAGCTTGATGTTAGTGGTTCTGAGTTAAACCATTTATTCGAACTTGAAATGAACAGCAATCTCTAGGACAAATTATGACCCTGAAAACTAGTAAACAACATCTCCATGTGGTCGCAAAACACCCACTAAGCGTTCAAAGTCACGAGAAGTAAATATTTGCACTTTGAGTACACTATAGCAAAATGTCCTCCTGCACATAGTTGGAGACAAGCCAAGGAGATAGTCTTTGCATGTCTTGATTTAAGGTGAATTGAGGTAGGACTGCGCTTTTTTCCACTGTATATTGAGTAGTATCGTCTAAGGACACTATCCTTTTTGCTGATGACCCCCAGACATTAATGCATTTTGTACACAGAACCATTACAGTGTTTCACTCCTTGGGATTCACCATCCATTCTGAAAAATCACAGTTTGTCCCATATCAAAAAGTAAACTTTCTGAGCTTCATTTTGGACTCCATTGCAATGGCACTCTCTTTAAAATTAGATAAGGCTGCTAACTTAATATTGAAGCTGACCAAGCAAGTAGACAATTCCATGATGACACTGAATGGTCTTTAAACTCTCGTGTTCATGAAAGACTTATTGCTAATTGAGGGAAGCAGAGATTGATCTTTTTGCATCTCAGCTGAATGCTAAACTGCCCTGCTATGTAGCATGGAAATCAGACCCTAGTGCCTATGCTATTAATGCCTTCACACTCGATTGGTCTGTGTATAAACTTGTTTACTGTATTCCTCCTTTCAGTGTTATTTGGAAAGTACTTCAGAAGATAACACTAGCCCAGACAACAGCCACCTTAATTCTACGAGATTGACCAACACAGTTTTGGTACCCGCAAGTGATGTCAATGTTAGTTGCCCCACCACAGCAAATAAAACTACAGTCAACACTGACCCTTCCCCACGATGTGAACAAAATCCATCCTCTTTACTCCAAGCTCCAACTGATTGGCTGTCTAGTGTCAGAGAATCCCTCCAATTGCAAGGTATAGCTGGGGCTTTAGACAGCATCATTGACTCATGGAGGAAAGGTAGTCAAAAGAGATACAGGACCAGCATATCTGCCTGGATAGATTACTGATAGGAACAGAAGATCAGTATTACAACACCTTCACTCCACAAAATACTGAACTTTCTAACTCTTCAGTCCGAAAAGCCTGGCTACAGTGCTGTAGGAACCACTAGAGGTGCCCTTTCCTCATTTATCAAAGTTGATGGTTTCAAAGTTGGAGAACACCCTATCAATTTTCACGCTTCATGTCAGGAGCATTCAACAAGAAACTGACTTTCCCCAGATATGTTGAGACATGGAACCCTCAGATTGTTCTTAGCCACCTTAAAGCTTACCCTGCCATTAAGGAAATGTCTCCGAGGAAAGTGACATTGAAACTAACTATTATTATGACCTTAGTTACAGCACAAAAAGCACAGACTCTTAAGTTACTGTCAATTAATGACATGCCAATTAAATACATTTTTCAAATCACTTCCCTTCTTAAGCAATCAAGTGCTAATGGTGGTAGGCAAAGAAACTTGCAGCCTATTGTTTTCAAGAAATAATTATGACCATGACTAAAGTCTTTGTGTTTTTATGATATTACAAGAGCATCTCCTCAAAAGAAATTGTGTCTAACCACACCAAATGTTAAAAACAAATTTTGAAGTTCCTATGAAAAACTTGAAAGTACAGCTGGTGAAATGAAACTGAAGATAAATTTTACCTGTTTATACATACTTTCTCGAGATAGCAAAATTCAAAGTAGCGAATTTCGACGTAACCAAATGAAAATTTGAGATAGCAAAATTCAAAGAAGCGAATTTTTGTGACATGAACCACAATCAATGACATCGCCAAACGAGTGTATGTAAAAAGACTAAACTCATATCAAAAATAGATTCAATGATCAAACAGTCTAATCAGCTATTTCCGACGAAAAAAAGTGATTGCATCACACAACAAAAAAAGCGATTACTTCACAAGTAATTCCTCAAACACAGACTCGTAAACCTTGTTTTAGCAATTTTGATTTTCAAGCCTGCATATCAATCGGTAAAACTGGGCACCAATTCCACGAGTAGTTCAAGTCTGTTGACATGACAACATTTACAGAAGCCCGCTTTCCCAAAACAAACAGCATAGAAATGAGACAAAACTTTTGCAGACAAAATTTTTATTTTATGAAACATTACATTTCGTTTTGGAACCAAAACTCAAAAGCCCTCAAATGTCTTTTCAGGGTTTTTAGCCCGAGCAGTGCATGTCTCGATTTGCTCCAGAGTTAAATCGTACAAAACAGTCTTTGGACGGCTTACCTTGTAAACTGAATCCTTGCTGGGTTTAAAGGCAATAAGCTTATTTCAGCATTTTTTGCCTCCATATCGACCGTAAGCATCAACCTAGTGAGTCATATTTATGCAGAGCCATGTGCCATATCACTTTAACACCATGTTGACAGATGTTGACAGACTTGGAAAACTCACCAGCCTACAGTGGTTTGGCCTGCAGTATAGATGTTGCCTCCATAGCTACGTTGTGTAAAGGGAAAGTGAGGCGTGTGCAAGAAAAGAGTACTTATAACATGTGCTGAAGCCAGAGTAAGTTCTATATTTTACTCTCTGCCTGGGAAAAGGTAGACTTGCTACAAGGCAACCTCGTGAGTTTTAGGGTAGAATAGCTAAGCAAGCAAAGGGGCTGCAAGGTTTTAGGCCGCGTAGTGGCCATGCAAGGGTCGCTAAGTGGCCGAGTGAGCGACGATCGTCCTTTGTCTGGCGGGTTATGAATAAACAAGACGAAGGACTCTTCTTAGAGTCTAGGTAAAAGGCTGAGAAAAATGTAGGGAGATCGAGATGCACAGTTTTGGGAGAAACGGGGTTGGGGGTTATAACGATTTCATAATAGTAAGACAACATAATAAAGTTTCCTCGATTAAAACAATAGTAAATAAAGTGGTTGTCAATTGAGCGTCGAAAGTAATTCTCCTTTCAGCAATTTAAATATTTCAGCTGGGTGGAGATCTTGCTTGTAAAGAAGCTTGACTCGTGTTCCCATGTGATTGGATGCTTTTGGCAGGATTACCACAAGAGAGTTTCAACGGGAATGATTGTGTAATGCATGTTAGCACTATCGAACACTACCAGTTGCTATGGTAATACAAAAACAAGTTGCACGGTGTCTGGGTCACGAAAACATGGTGTGGGTCAGCAAGTGGCCTTTGTGGCCTACAAACGTGAACCAAGAAACCACCGAAGAATAATTGTGTAAGAGCTGCGATGCTTTTAACATAAGGTAAACAGTAAAGGAGACCTTTGAAGTATATCCAGGTGAGCCTTATAGAACTGTTATGTAAATGGACAAGCTTACACATTGTGAGATGACAGCAGAAAAGAATCATCGCAGCAAATTTGAACTTGGCTAATTATTGTTGTCCACAAAATGCTTGGGAATGTTTGAGCAGAGCTAATGAAGAGCGAAATTTCACTCAAATGTTCGAAGTCAATTATCGAACAGAGCGATTTTTCGGTCAAAAATTTGAAGTCAATTTTTGTTCCAAAAGAATTGTCATTTGAAAATTCGAGTAGTTGGAAACAATAGGCATCGTGAATTATTGTGACTTTCTGTCAAAAATTCGGCGAAATACGTTTGCATTACTTTTGCACAATACTGTATATGAAAAATACTAAAGTTGCAGCCAGGATTCATGATAATATACGAAAATGGTGTGACACTTCAGTTTCAGTTGATGTTTGTTTCTTGCTATACACCTTCAATGTAGATTAAAGAAGAGACTTGCCCCGGGGCAGTTACTTTGAGAAGTTATTATTTTTTACTCTGACAAATAACAACCTCTTTATTTGTATACTACAACTTCCACAGTACTACCATTTGGAATAAAACAATATGAAACTTACTGATAAGGTAAATCCAGAGGGTCCTGCTTGTTGAATAATGTTATAAACTTGTGTAAGCAAAGGCCTCTCAGCAATAACATTTGAGTCATAATCTGATTTGAAAATGGCAGAAAAATGTAAATTAATAAAACAACCAATAAGACAAAGTGTGTCACCTACTATATAAATTATATGATTTTGTCAGAAAAAGTGCTAAAGTTGTAATTTATTTTCAGGCAATGAAGGCAAGACACAGTTTAATTATGAGAATTAAATTTATAATATCAACAACAACTTTGTGGTCCTATGCATATAATGCCTACAGACCACAAAGTCAGAAGTTGATCTCGAGTGTCATTTTGAGGATGACATGACACGTCACAGATCTCCAGGAGTATAAATAGTCCAACAGCTGACATTAGCAAACGTTGTTTTCATGTTATGTTTGCTAATTTCATTTTCTCACATCCTAAGTACTATAAATAAGCCTTGCCGTTATTTTTAACTGATTCATTCAACAATGATGACATGAAGTCCTCGAAACGTCATGTAACTCTTCTTGTGTTAATTTTCCTGCTTAAGAGGCTGTCTCTGTAAAAACCAACCAGTGATTTTACTTCTAAAATTTGATTTTTCTCATAGGCTGGGATTTCAGAGCCCTTACCTAGTCAATCACTAAAATGAGTGCTAAAATGAGACAGCCTCTTAAATGGCTTATGACAGCTTGAAATAAACAGACGTCTACAATTCTGGCGCCGAAACCCATCGCAGTGAAATTGTTCGAGAAGTGGCAAACTACCAAATATATACAGGCTTGTATTTATACTGCCATGGTTTCGCTTACTTAGAAGATTTTGTCGGCAGCATTGACATTCTGTTGCTCAAGTTTAGGCTTCTTCATTCTCCAGACATTTTTTGAAAGCATGCCTCATGAAACCAACAAGAAGAAATCTCAAGGCCTATATCGTCTACATCTACATCTGCGCTCGACTGTCTTGTTGTGGAAGTTTCAGAATCATGTCAGTTCTCCAGCAATATCCTGCGACTAGCACTTGTTGTAGTTTGTCCTTCGCTTTCATTGGTGGGACTAGTGTCCTCAAGTTCTTTCAACAATTCTTCTTGGTTATAGTGCGGAACCATGGTCGCTCAGAGCCAAAGATCTTGTTCAATGGTAAACCCATGGGTTCCACCAGATTTTTGCCTCTTTGGCTTCTTTGAAGACGAAAACGGGCAAGAAGTTTTCTTGCGTTTTCGTCCTGACAACACACATGTATAATGGTGACTCTGGATCAAGCAAATCTCCATCTTTTAAGACACCTCGCTTCGCTTGGCATCTTGGAGACCCAGTTGTTTGAGTCCAGAATCACCATTATACATGTGTGTAAGGTGGGTCCCATTGCCGGCCTAGATCTTGATTCTGGCTCTAGATCAAGCAAATCTCTTTCTTATAAAATGCCTCGCTTCGCACAGCTTTGATTTTTGATCCAGAATTTTTTTCAACTGAACAGGCCGCCTGCTTTAGTATAAAGCAAAAAATGGCTGCATCAAGGTTTTCATCTGATGTGATAGAGATGTTTTCTGTCCTATCTCGCATGAAGAGAATCCAAGACTTCAGTCTCCAATCAGGCCCAACAGGGATTTTGATTTTCAGTTGGTAAGAATCAACTTCAACGAATCGCTTCGCGTGTGGAAAATGGTGGTCCCAGAAGTCTATAAATTTAAAGCCAACCTCTTGAAATTTGCACAAAAAGGGAAATCAAGATTTGCCGAAGTTGTAGATCATGGATAAATAGTTGATTTTTGCCTCTGTGGCAAAACAAGTCTTTGTGCAAAACTATTCGTATGAAAATGCATGTCACCTGTAGTTTCATTCTCTTAAAAATCAAGTCATTTTCGTGTGAAATGTTTTGCACGAGCATTCACTCTAAAAAAGAGGCAAACAGCAACTCCGAAGTGGAAGTAAAGTCTGCATATGAGCCAAGTGGCCCATCAGGTCAGCACTTATCCCAGTTTCTGTTGCATGAAGCGACTAAGAGTATTTCTACTCTCCCCGGATGGGATGCTAGTCGATCGCAGGGTTACCCCGCAATATTAAATTTGCCAGTACTTATTTATACAACCGAATGGAAAGAGGCACTGTGAGAGTAAGTGTCTTGCTCAAGGACAAATTACAATGTTCCCAGCCATGGCTCGAGGCCAGACTGCTCAAAATAGAAAAGAAATACAAAAATCAAATAACAGTTTGTTTACACAGACAGCTTATAAATTTTAAAATGGATAATAATTAATTTTGATTGGAATTGGAACATTGTTATCATATTACCTTGTACATGATGTAGTGTCAAAGAATAAGAACAGTCTGTTTCAAAATGAAATCATTGAATGAGAGTTCACCATATTTACCAGTCAGTCCAAAATTGACAATATAATTATGTCTATGAGTCAGCAGTGCATTTTGGGTCAAGGTAAATTGGTTGTGGTCCTTGTTCAGTTGACATTATGAAACAGTTGTATAACAGTGACTACTATTATACAAAAATTACAATTTTTGAAATTTATTTTCGACAATCAACTTGAGAATGTCAGGACTGCCAAGAGTGTTTGCCCAATTTCACTTAAGTGAGACATGGATATTGGCAAAATCTTGTTTACTTTAAGCTAAGTCAAACATGAACAATTTGATTGTAGCTTGTGGGTAAACAGGAAATCTATAGAAAAAAAGTATTTCCTTCAATATTATAAGAATGATTTCAGACAGTTTTGTTTCAATCACGAACCTGAAGTGAAGGGAATGTTTTTATTTACAATTTATAAGGGTTTTTTTCTATAGAACTATGTCCATGGAGAGGAGGAAGGGAAGTAACAAAGTTTTATACAAGGAGGTTCTGGCCCAAGGTCAAAGACCTATCCATTTAACAGTGTTCTTGACAGGAAACGCTTTCCTTTCATATATATGTAGCTTCTAGCCTGAAACCCCTTTCACAAACCAAATGTGGCCCACTAGATCTTATTTCTGGGATAAATAATCAATTAATGTTTGAAATCTATGTCCTATTAAGTCTTATGATACTTCCAGCCTTAAAAAAGTGCACCTTTAGTCAACTGTAGGAAAAGTCCCCAACTTGGTGCAATACAATAATAAGGGTACTACATATTGTAGTGCATGCAAGTAAAATAATTATAATTTCTTTCTTGGAAACAAAAATTACAGTATTTTATTCCTATATATCTTGGTAATTGTTTGTGCTGGTCTCACTAACAATGCAGTAATATTCAAAAGGATTGCAGATATGTCTCTGCTAATAAATTTTTGCAATGATTACAGAACATACTTATGTTGACAAGTATCAAGCATTCTCTTCTCCATAATTCAAGTGTTAATGTCAATTTGTTTAAATCTCTCATTCCTAGAAGCAAAAAAAAAAATTACTCTATATCACCACCCACCATGCGTCCAGCTTTTTGACACAATTGGACAGCATATCTTTCTTGTAAAAAAATAGATCTACACAGTCTCTTGGACTTAATTTGTTCATCCATCACTAAAATATTGCAGCGTATATTTACTCAATCGTACATGTAGGTTGCCTTGCATATCATCCATGAAGAAATTTTCACTCTGGTTGAACTGCATGGAATACAAAAGAAATGTGTGTGACCGACAACAAAACTAAAAGATAAGGCAATTCAAAATTTTTTTCCCCTTATTTAAAAACAAGCTTACAAATTTTGAGCTTGCAATACTAACACAGGCAGAATTTCAATGTGTGCGTACAAAATAAAACAATAAAGAAACAATGAAACCAAAAGCTAACAAGAGTTTAAGCTTACCTTGGACTCCACAACGAGAGAAAGCAAGTGGAAACCATCAAATTCTCTTGCCAAGAAAAAAAAGCTACAGGCTTAACTTCCCCCATACGCTAATCATGATCTCACTTTCTGGCTTTGTCTTCCCGAGTGTCATGTATCAATTCTTTGACCTCGCCGACCGTGCTGTTGTGAACGATGCATGACCACAGTCATAAATACCTCTACCAGCTTTCATCTAGGTGTGAGCAAAAGCTGATAGGTAAAAAACAACATACTTACAAAAGAAAATCACATGAAACCAAAATGGCCGACTTCAATCTTGGAGGTGTTCAACAAACTAGTACCCAGGCTCTCGATTTATCAGGCAAAAATGTATGCCTTTCTAGTCCCCCCTCGTCAAAGAACCTTTCAGAAGACGACTGAACACTCTTGCACAAAAGCAATACTTAGCAGGGGAGGAAGGAGAAAAATGTTTAATCCAGGTTTAATGAATAAATTAATTAGAATGAAGTGAGTGAGTGAGTGAGCGCCATCCGACTGCCTCCTAAGCTCATGGATGTTACTTCATCCACGAGAAAAAATGAAATTCGAACCCTGAAAAGCGTCAAAATGCAGTTCGGGCTTAACGTTGAGTTTTCGATACCTAGAGATGGTGAAAAACAAGAAATGGAGCACTATTTCAAACAGAAAGACCCCACGGTTTTCAACAGAAATAACGTGACAGCAGTGAACAGCGTATTTCACGGATTCATCAATGAAGTCAAAGGCAAAATAGAAGCCTGGTCTCAAAGAGGCTCAGGCTGGGTGGTAGAAGGTGTCTTGGAAGCCTTCATGAATGTCGCGCAATACCAGCCCTTTCATGGAGGGAGCTACATGCCACTGCCCAAAAAGCTACAAAACAAAAAAGCGATCATCAACGTCCAAAACAGAGACAATAAGTGCTTGAGATGGGCGCTGCGTGCAGCATTAATTCCACCAAAACACAGCATGAACATGTCAAGGCCATCAAGATACCCCACAGAAGACGGGCTGGATTTTACAGGAATAGGCTTTCCAACGCCTGTATCACAGATAAATAGGCTAGAAAAGCAAAACACAGCCTTGGCAATAAACGTATTCGGTTGGGAAAAAGAACACATGATCATGCATAGGCTCAGCGAAAAAAGGGGAAGCCTCCTGAGAATCAACTTGATGTTGATACAGAACAACGAAAAATCCCACTACACATACGTGAGAAGGCTGAGCGCGCTGCTGCATGACCAAAGCAAGCACGGGGATGTAAAACTTTTTTGTGAAAGATGTCTGCACGGCTACACCAAGGCAGAGCTGCTGGAAAGGCACAAACCCGAATGCATGGGGCAGCTGAAAAGGCCCACAAGGACCGAGCTGCCCAAAGAGGGCAAAAACAAGGTGAAGTTCAAGAACCACCACAAGCAGATGGAGGCACTGTTCATGGAATACGCTGACTTTGAGTCTTTGATAAGGAAGATACATGGCTGCGCAAAAAAAGGCCAGGCAACAATCAAAACAGAAGTCCACAAACCCTGCGGCTTTTTGCACACCATCGTGAAAAGTGACGGCCAGACACACAGCCCATTTGTGTACCACGGGAAAGACGCGGTGTACAGGTTTTTGATGAGTGTGCTGAATAATGAAAAGCTGATGAGAGCAGGGCTGGCCGACAAAAAACCGCTCGTGATGACAAGCGAAGACTGGCACCAATACAACAGCGCGAGTGCCACATCTGCAATGAAAGCCTGGTCAAGCCTGAGTTTCGAGACTTGTTTGCTGTGCATGACCCCAACACTGGTGAGTACTACGGCCAAAGCCACAAAAGATGCTATCATCAGGCCTGGAAGGGGTTTGTGGAGCCTCTGAGAGAGAGACAGCCTAAAGGGCCCGAAAAAGAGAACAAACACTGCATATTTTGAAAAGTGCCACTGTTAGTGAACAACTACAAAGACTCAATGAAAGACCACTGCCATGTCACAGGGAAATATCGGGGGGCTGCCCACAATGCCTGCAACCTGAAGCTCCGCCTAGACCCCAAAACGCCCATTCCAGTGGTCTTTCACAACTTGCAAAGATACGACGGACATCTCCTGATGCAGGGCATGGCACAGGTGCAGGAGGAAATAAGCTGCATCCCAAACAACACAGAGAAATACATCTTCTTTTCACTTGGAAACCTGAAGTTCACAGACAGCTTAAATTTCATGATGAGCAGCTTAGACACGCTAGTGAAGGGCAGCGCACCAGAAGACATGAAAATAACAGAAAAAACTTACGAAGACATTGAAAAGATGAACCTGCTCCTGAAGAAAGGGATTTATCCTCACAAATACATGGACGGCTTCGAAAGGTTCATTGAGACAGAGCTCTTGGCCAAAGAAGAGTTCTTCTCAAAGCTGGCTGGAAAAGGGATAACAGACGAAGAGTACGCCCACGCAGAGAAAGTCTGGGCCGAGTTCAGATGCAAAACCCTCGGCAACTATCACAATCTATACTTGAAAACCGACGTTGTGCTGCTGGCAGCACAAAAAGTCTGCATGGGGAGGTACAGGCTAGATCCAGCACATTATCACACAGCCCTGGTCTGAGCTGGGACGCGCTGCTGAAAAAGACCGGCGTAGAGCTACATGTAGAGCTTTTGACCGACCTGGACACCCACCTGTTCATCGAAAAAGGCATGCAGGGTGGCATCTCAACGGTTGGTGGCAACTTTGACACGATGGCGAGGTCGTTAAGCTAGAAATTCAAATCCTGCAGCCAAGATAATCAGTTACGGATCGAGACGGAGCAGAAATGGAAAGCAAGAGCTGGAAAACCAGCGATTCTCGGGCGGTCAAGAAAAACTTTGGAACCTTGGGAGAAAGCGAATGGGAAGAAGAGTTATCGACGGCTGCCATGAGGCAATTTTGACGAGATTAGACCATTTTTGTCAAATTTATGGAGCTTTGAGTGCGGGCCGTTGGGCCAGTGGGTTGCCCGCCTTTCGTTTCTCTTTAGGGGAAGCAAACCGCCAGAAAGTGAAACTCGCCTAAATGGCTCTAAACCACCTCCAGGAACCCAGAGACGTCAAATTAACGCAATGCAAACATAAGGTAAGCCATTTTATTCAAATTATTTTCTACACGTAGCATTTAGAGTAATTTTCGAAGCATTCTTATACATCGTCTTATAAACAGCTAAAATTGTAACGCAATCGTCAACAGCATAATGTCACGTATTAATCATATTCAACGTCTGGGCCGCCTATGATTGTGACAGTTGGTTTTTTCCCAATAAGACTAGTGACTTTGCCGTTAAGAGCGGCAACAACGTCAGGGCGCCTTTTGACCCATGCAATCGACTGCTGAATTTCAGGGTGCCCACGACGAATAGCCGTTCTGTGGTTTTCCATTTCTTTGGTCACACTTCCCATGAACTCACGCCCAGGGTCCACCTGCAGCAGCTGATCCCATGTCAAAGGGCTGCGCTTGTAAATCGACTGAAAAGCTTTCGCAACCTCAGCAGAGTCTTTCGAAGTCAGAGGCCCAGCTTCTTTGTAACGGCTGGCAACATCGACAATTGTCAGCACGTATTTGTAAACTTTCAGCCACGAGGAAGCTTGTCATGAGGCAGAAATAGAAGATCCGCTTGGCACTGCAGTGCTTTCAATAAGCACTGACGTCCAACGAGGAATGTCGGCTACTTCGATCAGAGACGTTGGCTACTTTTTTCCTTAAATTGAAGTAATTAAAGAACGATCCTTTCAAACAAAATTAAAATTACTTTTGATGGGCTTGGATGTACTTTTTATGTTAATTTCAAGATTAAGGTCAGGCCTCATTGCGCATTCAGCATGATTTGGTATCACTGTTACGGCTTGACTCGTCAAGTTGGTCAACTCGTAATTTGAGTGGGTTGCAACACGTCACATCTATTTTTGGATATAGTTGCACGGTCCAACAGCTGCAGGAAAATGTCTGGATGAAGAGAGCACGACACAAGCTTTTTGTGAAAAGAAGAAGGGTTGAAGGTAAGTCTACATTATTGTGGCTTTCATAATAGACTGCCCCTCTAATTGTAACTCAACCTACATTCGCATTCAGTATTAATCAAGTTGAGACGAAGAGTCATCATTTTCGGCTGATTCATTTATTGTTTAAAAATCCTGGTCTTGAATTTTATGAAAATCAGAGTCAGTCTTTAAAATTCATGAATAAAAATAGTCAATCCTAACTTACGTGTTGGCAATTCAGTGATCAGATTTCAAGTCACTCATCTGTGAAGATTTAGAAAATTGTGCTAATGTGTTGCAAAAGTAGAAGCGACTGTTCGAGTAAAGAAAGTGTTAAAAATGAAAACGTAATCAAAACATGTTTTCATCAAAAACACCTTTTTTCTGTTGTGCTTTAGATAATGTACACGGTTTATTTTAGCAAATTTTTCGGCCACTTTTTTAAACTTTTGATGTTAATACAGTAAAACGCAAGACCTTTCACAATCGCCTTGCGTGTAAAACTACAAATGTCTGTAATCTAATTACTATCATTTTGTTTATCATCTTCACGATTTGTCACGGTGCTGATAAATCAAAACTTGAATCAAACCTGCATTTTCTAAAATGAAAACCATGTTCACTTGAATGAAAACAAAAAACTCTTAAGGTCCAAAGTGTTTTATGTTTGTTTGAAACTGAATTAGTTTGATCAAAAAGTCTGAGTTAAAAATATCTGATCTTATCACGTTTCATGATGCCCGCCTGGCGCCTTGACAAGTCTGGAATGCTTCCTTTTTCTTTCCATTGGCATCCCTCCAGTTTTGTCAGTAAAATCCTTTCTGTAGTACCAAAGGAGTTCAGTTAATACCATTTTGGAGCTACCCTGATTGGCAAACATTTTTCTGCATTTTGTATCGCGGAAACAAGTTAGCTGTTCATAGCTGCTCAAAAATGGTAAAGATGTTTTTAGAAGTGAAGTTTTATAATGGTTTGGCTGTACAAACACAGACAGACTACAATTTTCAGACGTGTTGACATTTATGAATTTATGGTCTGGTTGCTGGTTTGTAAAAGGCTGGTTTATAAAATACTGTACATGTATTTTGAGACACGCTTCCTGAAAGATTTCACTGTCAACCAAAATGATCTGAACGTTTTTAATACTGAGCTATTATGATGGTGTTTTCTTTTTATCACACAGCAGAAAATCAGGTTGAATCAGAAATAGTGGACACCCAAGCAGCTGCGTCTGAATTTGCACCCTAAGAAAGGGAAAGAGCTGGGGACAGACCTCTTGACGATTCCAGTTCTCAATCCAATGTAAGAAATTTTATAAATTCTGTTTAAACAATGTGTTAAGCACTTAAAAAAGGATTTTTTTCTTCAGATTTCTAATGAGCAGCAATCCGCCTCCAGTGGNTGTTTCCTACTTCGGAAGTGTAGTTTCTAGCACATCCTGGAATGAAATCTCAAATTTCCTGATGGCAGTTTTGAAACATGATTGGTCAGCTGTTACAATGTGTCTATTGTTTTCTGTTTGCCACTGGCTCACATTACAGAACAGGCTCTAAGTTTGTACTGGTTTACATGTATTCTTAGTTACTAATGTATGGTGTCATTGTTGCTATGCTGAACAATAAATTTGTGAAAACTTTGAAAAATTGTTGGTAATTGTGAAGAAGAGGTCCCAAAACTGACTGTCGGCAAGCTGTTAGCTGACAGATTGCTGACAAGCTACCAACAGGTTCCTGACAGGTTACCCACAGTTTACTAAACAAAATGTTTGCTGTAGAATATATAGGAATAGAGTAATATACCCGATCAACAAAATGGTTTCAAAAGTCGAAAATAATTAGCAATAAATCTCATCACTAACTTACTGATTGATGGTGGGCACAGAAAATATCAATTGTGAAATATTCTTTAAAAACTTAATTTTATATCAAATTTGTTACATTGTAAGTAACAGACAACAACGTCTAAGTTAAATTTAACCATATAAAGCAGATTTCATCCAACAGAAAAAGCGAAAACAACTGCATAATACTTTCTTGTAGAAAGCACCCTACAATGCAATTCGAACTATGACATAATTTATGGGGGAATGATACTATTGCTGTATTCGCATATTTACTCTGGTTGTTTTCTGCAGCGCTGGCACTGGTTGTAAGCAGTGATTACCAAAACTTAGACAGACATATATTTCAAGCACAGTATGGAGGAACAACATCAAGGCAAGTGTTACCTACTACTGAAAAACTACCAACAACTTACCGACAGATCACCAACTGTCAGCCAACTGTTATCCAACAGAGAGCCAACAGTCAGCCAACAGTAATTACAGTTACTATTCTGGACATCTTTCTTATTCTCACATGTACTAATCAAGGTCAAAGCAATCAAAATCTAACCTACACATGTATGAAAAAATACTTTAATACTTCACCTGCATGGTTACTAAATGTCTTTTTCTTAATCTTTTAAGATGATGAAAGGTGGACCTTGAATCCATCTTAAAGAAACTTGATCCAATTGTTTTCTGCACACGTCCATTATACCTTGCCTGTCCAACATGTTCCAACAAACAATACTGTATATCAGTGAGTGTAACATGAGGATCACACTCAAGTCCAAGAAGGGCTTTTTCTCTCAACTCCTGAGAAGCAACCATAACAAGACAGTCTCCCCATCTGTCAGGAAAAATTAACAGTGTTTAATATCAAGCCATCAAGCAAAGAGTAAATACTGTTAAGGGAATATAGTTGATTCCTGGTAACTCAAACCACCATGAGAAATCACAGAAGGTTCGAGTTCCAGGACTGGAAATAATGGACAGTCACTGGTCAATGTCTAGCCCGATGAAGCATTTTACAGCAAAGAAACACAAAGCAAAAGTTGCATGTAATTGAAGGGGAAGAGGGAACTATTAAGAAATCCAGTTGAGTAAAGCAACTTTCTTCAAAAGAACTTTCACTATTCTAACAAGGACCTAAACAATTTTTTCTGTAATTATTAATTCATTCATTATCATAATTATTTATTATTTATATTTTTCTTAGCTCATGAGCGGGCAGAATTTAACAAATCTTGCAATCTGATTGGTTCCTGAAACAGGCGGAACTTTCTCAACCGGTACCACCACAGTGGGCGGAATCCATTGTGTTGATCTATTTTTGTACAAGGTAAAAAGCGAAACAATTTGCGAATCTTGACGACATGGCCCATTGTTCTCACAGTACTGCTTTATAGTGGATTGTGACGCTGTAAAAAGCATGTGCCAGCTGCAAACCAGATGGATCATAGGGGTTGCGTTGGACTAACTTTTCCTTTATTTCTGGGAAAAACTGCTATTATACAACTGATATCCTGCTTAATTGGACCTACACTACGGCCCTTTTTTTTACATACACTTTATTTCAAAATACAAACATTATTTACAACATGGTGTGACAGTCAAGTACACTTACAAGACAAAAACATAACATTCCAGTTCAGTTCTATCTAAATCTTCCAACATCATTATTCATAACACCTACATAAGGAAATACAGATATCTGCCCTTAAAACACTAAATAAATAAAACAAACAGATTAGACTACAGCAATGCCCTTGAAGGAGCGTCTTCTTTAAGATATTATATTTAATTATTAGATGAATTTTAATTAATGTTATTGAACCATTGATTAACTCTTTGCTGGAAAGCTTTTGAAAATTGGCAGTTGATAAAGATATGTTCGATGGAGGGGCAAATGACTAAAGATTCTATAAGAAGTGAGACCTCCCTCACTTATGAAGAGGTAATTTGTAATAATCGAAAAATTTTATTTACTGGTAAACCTGTATTCTACAAAAGTTGGTTTGACCAAAACATAATACAAATCCAGGATCTCCTTCAAGAGGACGATAAATTCCTGTCCTTTATAATCTTTTGTAAGTTTAAGCTCAAAACACCCTTCACCCTCTACTTTGGTCTTACTAATTCTATATTAACTTCTTGGAGGTTAGTATCTGAAAATCCTCCTTCGCAATGCCCAGAAAGTGAGGAAAAAGAAGAAACCATTTCCACCAAATATGTGTACAACTTGCTGTTGAAGAAATTCTTTGTACCACCTACTGCTGAAACTAAAATCTTAAAACATGGTTTAATTCCAGAAACTGTCCAAAAAGTGCACGCATTACCTTTCCAGATCAAGTGTGACATTAAAATAACAATGTTTCAATATAAGACTATACACAACATTCTCGCAACCAAAATGTCTCTTCTTAGAGCCAAAATGTCTGACAAAGATGTATGTCCTCAATGCTTGGCTGATACACACTCCCTAGATCATATGTTCTTACCCTGCTCTTCTGTTATAGCCTTTTGGAAGACCGTTCAAAACTGGTGGACAAACAAAACGAAACAGCAACTAACATTATCAAATAGTATGATTCTATACAGTATTTTTGACAAAACGGAACATAGATACTCTTTGAACTATGTGCTTCTAATTGCGAAATTTTCTATATACTGCAGCTGCCTGCACAATGAAAAGCTCTCTTTCGACAGTTTTCTCATACACTTCTAAAAGAAAAGTTAAATATACAGAAAGAAATAGCAATTAAAAACAATTCTATTGCTGCTTTTCAAAAATCCTTTCAACATATTATTTAACATGCATTGATGACATGTTTTTTTTGTTTTGTTAACTAAGTAAATGATGTAGATAGTGTTCATATTTTTGGGGGGGTCAGTGATATAATGCTTAAGTGCAGCTTTAGTAGAGCTGCCTTTTGTTCGAAACTTTAAAACAAAAAAAAAACTGGACATTTTCCTAACTGTGTTGTTTAGCTATGTAAACTAAACGATGTAAGTAGTCTTAACTATCATATTGTACTGTAAGTAAGTATTGTGCTGCAGTAATATTACTATTTTCCTCTTTTTATTTTGTTGGGTTTTTCCTATGTATATTGTGTTTGTTTGTAAATTAATAAAAAAAAAATGTTCGATAGAGTCTTAATTTCCACAATATAAACAATTACTATCTTGTTTGATATCAAAGCGGCACAATTCTTTCTTGGTGACTATAATTCTATGTAAGAATTTGTAAAGGAATTCTTTTAATTTATTTTCTCTGCAAATCTGTTTTACCAATTTGAAGATGTGTCACTATTCAGGGGAATTTAAATTCATAGTATTACTCTTTTTTTTTCGGGCCAGTAGGAAATGAATAATTTACCTTTTTATTTAGTAGCCAGTAGAAATCCTTTGCCTTTGTTTTCTGTAAATCATGTCAATATTTTCAGCTAATTGAATCTTAGTATTATGATTTCCTAAATAATTTTCTTTAAGAGGTTTGTCTTGATTACATGCCTTAGTTTCTAATGCTTTCAGAATAGCATTAATTACTTGATAAAAATTAAACAAATTAGTTCTAAAGTCATATTTCCTTTGAAACTCTTGTAAGGAAAGAAGTTGTCCACTTTCATTAAGTCTTAAATACAACTAATTCCTTTGGAAACCATTCCCAAAGAAAGAAGGGTTTCCCTCCCATTAAAATAGATTTATTGTTAATTAAAAGGATAGTTTCCTCCCCCTGTTCATACTTGTACTGAGATTTAATACCAGAAAAAAGGGTAGAATGTCCTTGTGGAAGGCTAGTAATTTAGAATCTAAATATTTTTTGGCATAGTGACATCTGAGTAGAAAATTTAATCCTCCAAGTTTTTTAAAGAAATGGTCTGGTATTGATTTCCAATTATGGTTGTTAGGATTTAAAAGTCTTGGGATCCAGGCAAGTCTTAATGCCTTCATCACTATATTGAGATCAGTCAAACAAATTCTGCCTTTATCGTAGTCTTGATAAATACTTTCTCTCTTAATTTTGTCTTTCTGTTGCTGTAAAGGAAACCAAATAACTTATTCTTGATGGTATATTTGATTTCATTTGGGACACTGACATTAGACACTGCATAGACTATTTGTGAAAGCCCGAGCAATTTAATGATCAAAACTTTTCCAAACAGGGTCAAATTTCTTGCTTTCCATAAATCCAGTTTGGTCTGTAATTTCTGAATTTTTGAATCGAAATTAAAGTGCTTGTTCTTGTTTTCATCATAGGAGAGGTATACCCTAAGATTTTAACAGGTTGGTTTACCCATTCTAATTGTAATGGCTTGGTTTTGTTCGTTGACCACTCTCCTAACCATATCATCTTAGTCTTTTTCATGTTTAATTTTAAACCAGAGATGGCACCAAATCTACTGACTGTATTAAGAGCGTGTTCTACAGAAGAAACATCTGCGCAGAATAGGTAAGTATCATTTGCAAATTGACTCATTTTAACCTTGTTTCCAAATAAATTAATCCCTTTGATTTCGACTGTCTGACGAAGTCTGTTCAATAATATTTCAGCCCCAAGTATAAAGAGATACGGGGAAAGCGGAGAGCCTTGTCTGACCCCCCTTGATGGTTTAAACCAGTTGGTGGCAAAACCATTATTCATTACTGCGCTTTCAATGTTAGCATAAAAGATTCTAACCCACTTCTTGACATTCTCACTGAAATTGAAAAGCTGTAATATTTTCTTTACAAATTGCCATTCCAAAGTGTCAAAAGCTTTTTTAAAATCCAATGACACCAAAATTCCCCCTTTTTTCTCCACCATTGTGTATTCCATTACATCATTTATTAAATCCATTTTGAAATCACTGGTTATCCTTGCAATCTGAGTGGCTCTCTGTGGTGGGATTTATTCACGAATCGCACTATTTTTTGCTCTAAATCGCATCTTTTTCTCTGCCAATGAGAATGGGACAGTAAAACAAAAACATCAATCAGATTTCAAGATTAGTTTAAAGTAATCAATAAAATTTCAGGAAAATGAAAGGCAAAAAGCCAATGTGTGGAGAATTTTGCAACTACTATTGCCAAAACTCTGTTGTTATTGTAGTTTTTTTTCCAAAAAAGTTGACGAATTTAATTAATTACAGTTTCTGAATGACGATTATGAGCTCCTTCAGGCTGAAGACCTACTTTAATGGAAGTTTCCAACTTTCAGTGTCCATTTTGATGGATATTTTGGCGATTTTCCTTTAACATCTGCTCAAGATCCGTATGATACCAAGTCCAGTAAGACATAAACAAACAAAAACCACACAGCAACAAATTCAGAGCCATCTCAAGAAGGTAGATGTTTCCAGGTTTCCAGTAGTTTCAAATGAAGCAACAAAAGAGCTCAACTCTGTCGCTGTGAATAAACATAGTCAAAATACACCACACTGCACAAAATAGTGAATGAATGAACATCTTACGAAGCCAGTGCTAGTCCCGCCATCTTGGAAATATCTTTAAACAAATAGCGCCACAAGAACTTGACAAGGTCCTGAGTATTGAGTCCTATGTCGAGGTCACAAAAAGAAACAGAGATGATAACGAGCTGGACTCCCTTAAAATCATGCCATTGAACGGTGTTTAAAAGGAAAAAAACGAACCGTCCACTGAGCATCGTGCACTCGAGGGAGTTTCACAACTCAAAAGAAATCAATCGCAGAATTACACAGGATATGCACCTTCACATTTCTTCTCCAAAGACAATGAAAAGTCTCACCCTCAACCACAGAAGAAAGGAAAGCCTTCCATAATTGATTCAGGCAACGAGAATTGAACTTTTATACCTGAAGTAGACTATTTTCATTCTGACTTCAGAAC